AAACCTACTCCACTCTTATCTTTCTCTTGCAAATCAGTCATGTTTGCAAACAGCATTCAGTAGGAAGAATGCTACACTGATGATTATCGCTCTTGCCTGTAGACAGATCTCTAACTGTTTTTACAGCTAAGGGATGAAACATGAACTGCTTTCCGACACACCTATTAAATATACGACTTGTAACTCTTGTGCCTTCCATATGAATATTTGGTGACTACTTGCCATCAATATGCGTATAGCTTTTCCTTATTTGAAACAGTCCAACAACATAGAAGTGCTGTTCTGATTTTTAGGATCTCAAATCGAAACGGGAGCGAAACGAACCATTATGTGAAAGTGAACGCAGTACTGTACATATGAATACTCCAACCGAGGAATATGATCCTCCGTTTTTTGTCGAAATACGCTGCAAAAACATTGCTGATTACGAGCGACAAGAAGGGCGTATGCCACTCAGGCCACAGGTAATAACACATTTTATAGGCTCACTGGATTAGACTTTTTACGAGTAACTACCATCGATCACGGCGACTGAAACGCAAAGGCGTCGACTTCTTGTTGCTGAACTGCACTGGTTCACAAAATCATGCTTAAATTAGTGTAGACAATATAAATCTAGTGTGCCTGGAAAATCAGTGTGAAATTCCATGTTTAAAGTGTTACCATGATACTTTACACCCAGCTACATCTAGTCCTTTTTTAACCTTGGGCTGCATACCTTCAATTAATACAAACCAGCCTTTTTGAAGTAATTGCGCCATCTCCTCAAATACTGCCTGAGCGGTCGTTAAATTTTCTGCTGGTACTACTGACTATTGGTATAAATCGTCCACTAGTTACTGGCAATATGAACAAGATTTCCTAGCCACTGGACTTGTTTCTCCGGTAAAATTTGCAATGGTATCCTGCGCACCGCTCATCTGACGAAGAATTGATCGTTCATATGGTTGTGAAGAGATGCGCCAAGCATCTGTCACTCCATCGCTCTCTTTGTCACAGCCAGCATCCTCCCATCAAATTTTGTCGTTCACCACGTTTTGCATTCGTTGGATAAAACAATGATTCTGTGTAACTGATGGACTGTTGGCAGAAAACGCTTTGGTGATTTTACTGTGGAGCGTTTAAACTGAAAACTTGCAGACATGTGTTCGAGACATTGGGCTGAGGTGTGTGCAGGTCTACAAGGATCAGCATTTTTCGCGTCGACGAGTTGGCTCGCATAGCTGGCACCCATATACCATCCCAAAGGTACCAAGCGCATGCGACTGCATGTGGCCCGTCGATAAGTATGGACATCAGGAACTTTAAATAATCATTTTTATGCTCATCTGTTTTAGGTCATAATTTTTCATTCGTCCAACAAGACTTGTGCTTGGTTGAACGGCTTCATCGTGGGCGTTGGCTTTGAGCAGACATTGAGAAGTTTGATCGTGGGTGTTGGCTAGACTTCTGCGATGAGGGGCACTGAAAAGGAGCTCAAGTTTTACGTCAAAAAAAGCTCAAAATACGAAATTTAATTTAAACAGTTAAGATTTTGTTCCTTGGTTTAATTCTGCGTGGTGAAGTGGCAGCTTAATTGCCTCAGTTTCTTTCAAAAACACAACAGTTTTTTTAAATTTATCAGATGTACATATAACAAAAATAGTGACTGTTCTCACTGAGCTTAAGACATGAGGCTCCTTCTCTTTAACATTCAAAATTTGTTTTATGAACACGAGCATTTTCTTTAAAAACTGAATTTGCAGCTTCTGGATTATCGCCGGTGGGATAAAATTAACAGACAGCATGAATTTGAAATGAACGGTTTTGTAGCATAATTCGTTTAACGAAACTACATAGAATCTAAATACTCTTCAAACTGATGCTGATACTTTCTCAGTTTTTTTTTTAGAATTTTAGTTCCAACAGAATTAACTGGCAGGATAGCAACGAAACTCAGCATAATTGTCTGTGCGAGATGCTCAGAATGCTTTCTCAGAAACGTTTATTTTCTTTATAAGTATGGGTTCTGTGTGAGATTTGCCGTATTTTTAAAATTTGAAAAATCAAAAATTTATTTTGTAACGCGATTTAAACAGCACTGTGGCACTGTTATAATCAGCTGTATCGCCTCCATGCTTTGGTTTTTGAATCGTTCATTTTTTGATGAAAAGAGCGGAATATTTTTTCTTTTATCTGATCATTGTTACATCACTTTGGACTTTTTAAAAAACTGAGAGGGCAAGGTGCAAGCAAGTAAAGATACAGTAAGCACCGGGCCACTTGTAGCAGACCATAGTGCAGTCCGAGATTGTGCCCTTACAAAATTTGACGAGCTAAACCAAGTTGTTTTTTGTTTAAAAAAGAAAAAATTGATTGAAATACAAACTTGCCCAAACACGCGCTAAGTTTTGCCAATTTGGAAAAAAGGAAAATCTAGCTGCCAAAAAAAATCTTTGAAAAACAAAAAGCATGGATTTGTAAGTACTGTATGCAAACAAAAATCATTCAGTCAGGGGAGTTGTTTATTTTTGCTGCTTTTGTTTATATCGACTTTAAAATGCCATCCGTTGTGCCCTAATTTAATAATCTTTATAATTCTGCTCAAATCTAGTAAAAATCTTAACATCTAATATTTAATAAATATTACTTGTCAGTAGAATAGGTCCCGATGTTGCATGCTTCTCCTAAATGTTTTCTAGATAGGATGTTCTCTGTTAATTCTAAGTACCACACAATCAATGCTGTTAATAAATCCAATGTATTTTTCCGAATTTTTTTACGTTTCTTTTTCCATTTATGACATACGCTACTATTCAAAATGACGCACCAGTATGGAACTGCGGCTAAATTGGAATCATATCTCTTTTATTTAACAATCTTTGGAACAAATCCACTTATGAATGAAGCTGAGTACTTCCCAGCAAATTTCCGTGCCAGATGAGGAAGTTACACTTTTTCATGCAAAATTTGAACCTTAGACTGGAACGCGCCAGGCTTGTCAGTGCGATCATGCATTTTTGCACTAAACATGAAACAATCAGTTCGTTGCATTTTTCATATTACACTCAGGATTACAGTGGTCTTCATAGTGCAAATGGTCTCCTTCCTTTCTCATTAGCCACTGCTATGTTAACTATTTAAATGGAACTGGGATGTAGATAAGTAGTAACTACAAGCCTCTTTTCTTGTTTTTTTGTGTTATAAATAGTACCAACGTCTGTTGAACATCAGAGCAGGGTAAAATGGTGGACTTGCCTCAGGTAATTTTGGCTTTAATCGTCCAAATATTTGATTTGACAAGGGGAAATGGGTTGAGAGGAGGATGTGGGGAGGAGTGGGAGGGGGGGACAGGGAGAAGGGGAAAAAGGGGCGTTGATTTGTTGTATATAAATTGTCGGTGCTTGCTCAACAAACATCT